ATCGATGGAACTTTGATTCCATCTATCTCCCTTCGGGTCTCCACTCGCAGCAACCTCCACGTGGTGAGACCTGGGGATTATTATTTAGTATGTAATTAATACAATTATTAATTACATAACAAATAATATGATCTAATGGCTGCGTTCTTCAGAAACCATTCCATTTGTCGTAACAATCGCGAAAGTATTTCATAGTGTATTAATTTCTCACAAAAATTCAGATACACTCGTCAACTACAGATCGATTTAGGATTAGATCACAGACGAAGTATAGGATCATTTCAAATGATTGATTTTAATGAGTCAGCGTTTTTTAAAATTGCTAAACAAAGAGGACAAATAGGACAGTATTCTCAAATATTTTCAGATTTAATAATTTAAAATTATATTGAATTCATTTGGTTGTTCAGACTCAATCGTATTAATGGTATAAATATATGAACGCATGTCCATTAGCATAGTAAAAAAATGTCTTTTTTTTAATAGTTAAAATATGATCAGGGGGTCCTAAAACGTGTATTTCCGTAAAAAAATTTTTGAAATTTTTGTTTCATTGTGGTTTTTGCTTATATATACGTCTACATAGGTCGGAAAGTCAAAAATGCCTGGGCAGTCGAAAATCTCGGCTCGAGATTATGCGAGATCGAATTTCAGCTGTGTTGAGAGCAAGAAGGATAGACTCACATTCGCGTCCTTTCTCGAATCCTCGAAGCTATACGAAACGCCAGAACTCATATACAAGCTGGTTGGCATTAGTGTGTGTAAGTGGAGGGGCAGTTCCCTTTGGGCACGGATCTGCCGTCTGATAATACTGCACTGTCTTTCTCAATCCCTCCCATAGTCAACTCACATGTATTTACGCACACACTACAGCTGGCTGCCCATCAATACTAATTCAGTGCCTAGTTTCTCGACTGACCGCCATTCATGAGAAGAGGCCGCTAAAGTCACCTCCGAATTTTCAGGTCGGTATGACAGTCAGATTCGGCCGCGAAAGTCCATAAGGTGAAAGGTCTATTCATATAGCTCGTCTGTGCTATTAACCTCGTAGAGTATCAGTGGTTTTAGAGCAATCTTTTCGTTTAAAGTTTGTGGTTTTAGAAATTATAAGCAACCGAGCTATTTTGAATATGTTTTATTCTACGACACAGCGGTGACCAAAGCAAAGGCTCGAGAAAGTGAGTTAAAAAGAGACAATTTTCAATATAATTGCTTGGCAGAGCACAGACACTCGTGCGCTATAGCTTTAATTCTAACCAAGATCTAAAGATCCGGTAGAGGATGACGATGTCTTTTGTTATGCCCTTGCGATAAATTCGGTTGCAAACGTAGATCTAATCTGAAATATAGTCTGGAAAAATAACAAAAGACGAATCAGTCAGTAAAAGTGAAGCGTCAATATTTTAGCACAGACGAGATATATGAATAGACGTCTCACGTAATGTAATTTTTCGGCCGGAGTTTCTGGGGTCCCGGGACCCCATTACCATTTTCGTGTCACTCGCTACGTTATCAACAGATTCAGAAATTAACACAAGAGGAAGTGAGACAGAAAATAAAATTACATAAATTTTATTATTTTTTAACGGAATTAAAGCTGTAGGGTCCATCATTGGACATTAATCGATTAATTTCATTGGAGAAATCAATCGATTAAGAGTATTTAAAAATTTCAAGATTATTAAAATTCATAAGGATGTATATCATTGATACGTACACCGCAAATTCTCTATTTTTTATTTTAAATTGTAATACATCATTTATTAAAAAAATAACTCGGCAGAAACGTATTTGCGACTCGAAATCAGTTTAATCAGACTGTGCATCGGGGCCCCGGAAACTCCTCATTCCTCGCTTTCGCACACTATGCTCAATTGCGTGTACGTGAGCTCGTTGAGTTTCGGAAGAGCCGAGAAGAACAGGCTGATACTCGCTTTCCTTCTCGCTCTTGCATCGCTGACGTCGTTTACATTTCTCGAAAGCAAGCCTGGCATCGCCAACCGTTCGAATCGTCAGTAAACGACAAAAGCCATCGTGACTGACAGACCTTACATTTCTCGAAATCGGACCTGGGCGCTTTTTGAAGATTTATTGACTTTCCATACGAAGCGACCATGCGTTATACATATACATATACATGTTATACATGCTAGGAACTATAAATTGTATAACTTTCGTTGTATATCTACTTTCTAATAACATGGGAAAATTTTAAAATATAAAAAAATGTAAGAATACTGTAGAATTTTTGCAATGGAGAATTATTGAAAGAAAATGAGGTAATTATTTAGAAAAGGCCGGGTCTCACCGATTTCGATGATTTTTGAATATGTTGTAGAAATCAACATTTTGAGCAACTTTTTCCTATACATATAACCGCCGCTCGGCCTTAGTTTCCGAGATTTTTCTTCAAAAAGATCGCTACTACTACAATGAATTCTGTCTATATGTATGTACATATCTGTGGCTCTGTATTGCATCAGTCCACGATCGTTGCTTTTTTCTCTTGTTTGTATTAGTCGGCATGACAACCGACGACAAATAATGTATAATGTGTCGAGCTAAATCTAGTTCTGCATTGTTGTCAAAGGTTCGAATTTTCTGAAGTATGGAACTCGCCAAATATATTATGTAGGCTATTTAGGTGAATTCTTCTTCCGTCGACAATATCATGCTAATGATCTAATAATTAAAGTCGAAATAATGGCTGAAATCTTTCCCACTTCTGATAATATCAATAAAGAAAATTGAATTAGAAAATGAATGCGTGGCCGCCGTTTGGCGGCCGGCTACACAAATCGAGTTTTTAAGCACAGCTGTTATACGCATTCATTGCCGGCCGCCTCGATGTATCTATAGAAAATAAAAAATAAAAATTTATTTCTCATAATTTTCTATGGTATGGTAAATTCTGAAACAATTCCCAATATACATAGCAGGTTGATTTATACATGTTTCACAATAAAATGTTGTTTGACGTCTTTCTCCTGGTGTTTTCCTGTCGGAACAAATAATGCAGTCCCGGTTTCTTTGGCCTACATTTGGAATATGTAGCTTATTATTCATTCTATTGTCCGACAAAGAACGTTAATTTATTTAGATTATAACGAAGATAGCAATAGGAATGGTTCGACTTTGAATGAAGTTTCGATTTTACGTTTATAGTTTTTTACGTTTACGTTTTATGTTCTTTATGTTAAATAATTTCAGTAAACATTAAATAATATAGTTTATATAGTTACGTTTATTGTCCACGTGTTTGAATCCGACCATACGCCTCTGACCATCATCGACAATCCTTCCACTTCCAACGTAAAAACGGCTGATATATTTCTCATTTTAATAGAATATTTCCCATTTTAATAGGAAAGTACAGGAAAACATGTGTTTCTTAAAAAAGTGCGGTGAAATCAGTTCATTCTCCTTAATCACTAATAAACTTTCATGTCCCCTCAGAGGGGACGACCGAGTGCAAAGGGTTAAAATATGTTCATAAAATATTATCGTTTTAAAACGTGTATTTCCGTAAAAACAAATTTTTGTAATTTTTTCTTCATTATGGTATATTGCTTATACATTGTATATGCCTACACAGGTCGGAAAGTCAAAAATGCCTAGGCAGTCGAGAATCTCGGCTCGAGAATATGCGAGATCGAATTTCAGCTGTGTTGAGAGCAAGAAGGATAGACTGACATTCGCCGCCTTTCTCGAATCTACGAAGCTATACGAAACGCCAGAACTCATATACAAGGTGGTTGGCATTAGTGTGTGTGAGTGGTGGGGCAGTTCCCTTTGAGCACAGGTCTGCCGTCTGATAATACTCCACTGTCTTTTCCAATCCCTCCCATAATCAACTCACATGTATTTACGTACCCACTCAGCTGGCTGCCCATCAATACTAATTCAGTGCCTAGTTTCTCAACTAACCGCCATCCATGAGAAGAGGCCGCTAAAATCAGCTCCGAATTTTCAGGTCGGTATGGCAGTCAGATTCGGCCGCGAAAGTCCATAAGGTGAAACGTCTATTCATATATCTCGTCTGTGATTTTAGAATATCTCTACGCGATGGTCAGCCGCTGTATCTACTGTACCCTATATCGACATAGAGTGTTAAGTATACAAGCTTCGGGAATTCGCAAAAGATGGTGAATATTAAGTATATAAGCAACAACGTAAATTGTTAAGGATACTACGTTGTAGGTGGGTGGAAATTGAGTTTGGTTGGCGTAATGACAAAGAGAAACATTAACCATTGAATATATAATAATAATAATTGTATTTTAACATCTCTACTACGCACTAAGATAATAATGACCTTAATCCTAAGACTTGAAAGCGTACAGGTTATAATTAAAATTTTATACTATAATGATTGGCTACTTGGTTCGATGATTAGCACAGTACACCAGCAATGTATCTCCTTAATTTTTTACGTAACGAAAATACTAATATTACAAAGGTTTTGCTTTAAAAATATTTCCAAGACTGCGTGTTACAAGCGTCTAATCATCTGACCGTATCGTTTAAGTTACTTATAGCCTAATTAAATATTTACAGCCTTACAAAAATAATACGCGGTTTTATCACATAAAATATATATTGTAGAAAAACTACATTTGTCTATTAGCTTACTTTCGACGCAAGTTTTACTATATCAACGACGTTCGATTTCACAGTACAGTTACATTCCCGCGCGTTTAACACCCTGTCCAGAACGCATTCGAAACACATATTACGAGTTAAAAGCTTCACAAAATTATTAAATTAATACATTTTTTTTACTATTCCCATCTCATCTCTTTTATTTCTGTCGTAATGAAGTCTTATAAAGACGATAAAGAAAATAATTTAGCGCATTTCAAGACAACGTATTTTCGCGTACCCCGTACATCATTAACACTTATTGTAGCTTTTTCTGTTCCTTTATCTTTTATTAGACCAATTCCATCAGACGTATCAGAGAACTGTTTCACATTGTCTTAATGGTTAAGTTCGATGTTTCAAGATCTCGTCTTCCTGCAAATTGCTTGTTTGTTGTCGTGTATACGTCTGTGTTTGTTAAAGTTGCTCGGGTCGCTAAATTGTTGATGACAGATCGCGCAGATCAACGGTTTGTAACCGAGGTGTATCCTGTAAAGGAAAAGAATAATTCATTTAGTCAGAATGGTCGAGAAATGGCGGCAAATTCGTGTCCAGTTCGTAAATTTTTTAAACAAAGCGTGACGAAGGAGGCTACATGGAACACGAGTCGAATAGAGGATCGATAAGCTTAATTTTGATAAAATAATTAAAGAATTTCATTTATATCGAAAAACTCACCTAAGATGGATCTTCAGACTGTACTTCCTCGTGCTGACCTTTTTACAGTAGATGCACTGGAACCCTTGCTGCGATTTCTCAAGAGCTTTGAGCACATTGTCTATGTAGACGCCAACATTGTCCTTGTTGATCAATGCCGCGTTCGGTTGGACGTTGTAGAGCGTTAAAACGGTCTCGTCTACACCGGGTAGACAAACACTCGTGGACACGTTGGGCTGATTCATGTAGGGCTTGAAGGCGGAGACCGGGAAACGATAGTCCAAGAACTTTCTCATCGGCGACACTTCCGTGGAACTGGAGGACGATTCGTTGGAAGACGACGGTGAGGGTTGATTCGTGGTACTCGGCGATTCGTTGTCCGTTATCGAGACGTTCGGGTTCGACGTTTTCGTCAAGTTCAGCTTGAAAGACGGGCTGAATCTTGGCGACAGACTGAACTTTTCCGCCAACACGATCCATAGATAATTACTGTCCAATTGATTGCACTGTAGAGTCAGGTGGATCTTCAAAGGATTCGGGTATTTAAACAGATTGTTGCATTTGTGGCAGACGTAGCAGTTATGACCTGAAACAAATTCGTGAAGGTTAGGAATCGTTGATCGCGTTGATCGTCGTCGAAAGCCACGGTTTAAAAAATCATTTACCTCGAATGTTGAACGGCATCAGGGTCGGTACATCCAACATATGTAGGATGTCCTCGGCGAACCACATCAGCAATGGTTCGCCCGAATTTATGTGTTTCGTGGTCTTTAGAATCACTCCGTTGTCGGTGGTCGTCAGCTGCACGTTGTAGCTCAGACAGTCCTTCGCGAAGGTGACGATCTTTAGCCAGTACGAGATGCTCAGGGCCTTGTTCACGCAGTACAGACGACTTTTCTTTTCGGCGATCTCGACCTACGATCGACACAAAATTACCCTAGCTTTCGAAGCATTGTACACCCTCCTAAATAACAATTGGAATGGTACTCACGTGTTGAATGATGGGCACGCGCTCCTTGGGCAGTACGTTGACGTCGATGTTGTCTGTCGAGGAATCTTTATTGAGGATCCCATCCGCGGTGACGACCGGTTGATCGAAGCGTATTTGGGACAAAAATATCCTCTCGGCAACCTCGGTGCTCATCATCAGAGCGTTCTCAGCGACGGTAGGAGGGAACATGATGGCGTTTGTCGGTCCTCTTTCGGTTTCGAGCTTCGAATCTCTAGGCAGCGGAGCCTTAGACTCTCACGATCATACCACCGAGTTGCTCGATAGCCACGAAACGTTCAGCTCGGGCAAGAATTATCGTAGATTCACAGGGGGACACACGGTGACGTCTTAAGGTGTACACGGGATCGCGCAAGTTTCGTGAGTCCAGCCAAATGGTTCTCTGTTAGCGACAAGATAATCTCGATGCACGCGACTCGATGCTAAGGTGTCAACTAAGTACGACTTGCATTCCGCACATTGCTTTAATACATCGAGGTCGTGCCCCGAATTGACTACCGGGAGTAGGGGTGGGACCCTCTCCGTTGCAACCCGATTGGACGCCACCTTTTTCGCAGCGAGTATACGTGTAATTGTATTTAAAGAGCCCGGCTAGGGGTAACTTCGCCCTTTCTACTTTCTCGAATCCTGATGCGTCGCCAATCACCCGGAGTGGGGATGCATCGTGGCAGGGAGGGGGTTGTTGTGGATCCAGTGGCATCCTAAGCGTAAGGTGCATCCGGAGGGTTGTTTAACTGGATACGGAATATCTCACGAGGGATTAAAATGATCGAAAAATATGTTCTTGCAAACGTATGTAGCTTGGTACAAAGGAGAACGCTAGGTGCTATAAATAATTTTCAAATTAATCTTTTTAAGTGGACTCTGGATCTCATAATCAAATAATTACATTGAAATATATCAAGCAATTATTAGTTTAAACTTGCAGAGGCCTCAATAATCCACTTAAGGGTTAAACGAGACCCTGTATCTTTTTTATTCATACTATAGCAGCGTTTGTTGAATCGAATACAAAGATTAAGAATAATATACGAGTCGTTGGTTGAATTCTACGTAGTTGTAGCGGCTTTTGATATTTTCTCTGTAGAAGGAAGGTTCGTGAAAAATTGGATAGCTCGTTTAATGGATAAAAATACAATTTCAATCGAGCATACACTTTTTTTGTTGATTAATTTTTATGAAGAATTTTCATTTCTACCAACGTGGACGATAGGAAGTGTCAATTCTTATTCCACGACACTTTTATTTCGCGTATATATCCGAGAACGCGGACGTGACGACGCAGGTCGCACAGAGTCGTCACCAGGAGCCAGGGCCGACTAGATGTTTGATGGGGCTATAAAAGCCTCATGTGAAAGGACATTGTTTGGCTCAGCTGCAACCCAATGTGCGCGTCTCGTCGAGGATGAGGGATCCTGACGAAAGGTGCATCTGAATCAACGGTTGATTAGGAAATTAAGTGGCTCATTCTTCTCGCACGCGCGCGTAGATCACGATCGACAGATACCGTCTGGATTTGCCTAATCGTTCGTAGATCTAGATACCATCCCCTGGCAACCTACGGGAATCCTGATTTTTCGTTTCATCGCAGTCAATGTACGAATCTCGCCATATTGCTCCCCGATCTCTTCTACTCCGCGCTACTAACCTAACAGACACTGTGTCACGTTCGACACATTCTTTAAAGAAAACAATATTTCTACAAATATAGTAATTAAAACATTTGTGGTATATAGTTACTAATGTGATTTAAGCTTTTTCATTATTAGAGAAAAGTTTATTCTTTTGACCCCCAAGTGGATAATTGAGTGATACTCCATTAGTACATTATTTTTTAAATGCTTCAAGGGAAAGTTGATTTCCATTTACCAATTTGGTAAAAATCAACATTAAGTAAAATAATTCAGTTGAAATCGAGAGCCCACTTAAGGGTTAAGTAAAATTTAATTTGAACGTGATCAATGTGTAATCCGTCAATAGATACTGTCTATGAAAGCGATTGTCGATGACTCGAACGTGTCGGTGCAAGGTAGTGTCGACGCGACAGGTTGACGCCAGCTCCCCGGGCCGACCTCAATAAACTGCGCCAAACCAGACGCAAACCGGTCACTTTCAACGTAATTAGGAGGCTTAATATTTTATTGTTTTGGCGGGCCTAGGCGACCCTGCTCGGTCTCCGTTACGAAAGTCACTTTTGGACCATCTCCCCGGTAGTATACTTATTTTCCCTCGGTGTCATAAAATAATAAGGAGGTAGGCTTGTCCATTGACTGTGCGTCTAACTCGAATTTCAATGATTTTTCGATAAATTGTATATTTTTCAAAATTTACAACCTTGCAAAACAAGTAGAACGAAAGTCACGCTTTGCGGGGATTCTTTATTAAAACGATCGATTCGCGTCAGATTCGATTGTACGAGAGTCGATTCCAAGAATTGGTAGTTGCCTGAAGAGAAGAAAATGAATTCTAAAGGTGTTGTAGGGAGAATTTTTTGCAACTTTCCCTGCACCCTTGCTAAATAAACCGAACTAACCGAGAAAACGAATTGGAAAATCGAAACCCTTGCTCCGCGGGCCCAAAAATCACCGTTGTCTACGTGACTCAGCGCACGTCAATGTCGGACCTAAGCACTTCCGTTTCGGAAACGACGCTCGGTTCGTACAGAAGGAAAATGGCGAATCTTCTCGAGATCCTAATGGCCCCGCCTTGCCTCGAACCGAAGGCGATCTTTGCAGGTATTCCTTGCTAATAGCTATAATATAGTACCGACCATTTACGTCGTTAGAGGTTATTACGTTGATCGATATCTTTTCTGGTTAAAAGACTTTTAACGTTAATACGGCCATTTGCTTCTCGGTTTACGGTTCTCGGCTGATGCGTTCGCGTTACGTTAAGATCTGGTATAGGGGGGGGAGGTTAAAGAAATATTTGAAGAAGGGAATCGCATAGTCGATCGACGGTGGCAAGGTGAATCCTAGCGATCTTATCGAATTAGCTAGATTACAAGGTACTCGACGCCCCGAAGGAAAACCAGAAAAAGGGCATGGTTCCTTCCACGGTGGATCTCCCGCGTGGTTGACGTGATTCATCCACCGGGGTGAATGATGCCGGACCAAGGAATGACACGAGTGTTCACAAGCTGCACCATCCCCCGTACCAACCCCTCTCTCTGGTCCCTCGAAATTCAAGCACGAGTGTTTCACCATTCTCCTACCCGAAACCAAGCTACGGCAAGTGTTCCGAGCCCCTCGCACGCTTCGTCGACGGCAAACACTAGCTACGAAAGCCTCCTGGAAATTTATTCTTCGTAATTTACCAGCCGCGTAGCTTCCGTCGGCTATTTAGACACGCGCGAATCGCGCCAGAGTTTCGAAAACTAGGTAAACGCATCCGATTTCTCTCATTGGTTCTCACTTTTAGTAAACCATACAGTTTCATAAAATTTATTTATAAAAATTGTAAATGGGCAACAATAGTATTTTCAATTGCAATCCTATAGGTAAGAATAATTACAAAATATAATGAACAATTTTCAAATTTGTTTTCTATAGAATTTCTTTCTAATTACATCTCTTCCTCCATACAAATTTATTACTTTTTTGAATTAAATTTAATCTCAGCTGAATTATTTTACTTAATGTTGTTTTCTTATTTTCCCTTCAAAGCATTAAAAAAATAATGAACCAATGAAGAATCACATAAATCTTCAAATAATTACATTTAAATATATTAATCAATTAATAGTTTAAACTTGCAGAGGCTCCAATAATCTATTTAAGGGTTGAAAGAAAGAAAGAGGAAGTTTTGATATTCTCGTTTTTCCGTATTCGACGGATTTTCGATCGATCAAATATAAATAAACATTTTCGTATCTTACCGTGGGCGGGTAAATTTCGATTTTTGCCCGCATCCCGGTTTGGGGTTCCACCCTCTGGTCTCTTTCTAAAATCGGGGGTGCATTCAGAGAACCGCGAGCCAGCAAGCGAGCAAGTGTTCCGCCGTGACCAATGGGCCCTTGCACGCATGTGCGCGCTTCCCAATGCGATATTAATATCGCGATTATCATCTACGTATTATCACCGCGCAACCCCTCGGCCACCGATGCTCAAAATAAGCTTGCCAGAAAACACCCTCCTCGGTTTGTACGCTCGTCCACCTTCCACGACCATTGCTCGCCTACTTTTCCATCCACCAACAATTTTTTCGACCCTGAAAATATCTCTCTTTTACCAAATTTCAGTGTTCCATAACAGCTCGATCATTTATCAAACAAAAGTTTCGGGGTAGTATTTTTAATTAATATCGAATTATTACGTACCATTCCACTTTACGAATAATCTTGTACGATTGAAATGTAGTAGAACAAAACGGGTTGTGGGAGTAGTATTCGGCTATTTATTTTAAATCGAGTTCATTTTTAGGCTTGTGTATTATTCGATCGTTAGGCGGACGGCGTTCGTGCATAAATTTAAATACTCGAACAGTTTTCCAGCTTCTGATTTTGGAAGCCTGCGTCGAAAACACGGAACCCCTCGCCGCGCATAGACGTAACAAATCTTATTGTTTGCCGCCCTTTTACGAGATTCTATATAACGCAACCACGGCGGATGCTGCGGGGCGAGAGCCTGAATTATGGCCGCCGTGACCATAAAGGTGATTCGTCTCGGTTCTGCAAGTGTCAAAAGTCTGTCCCTAATAGCTTTCCCAACGAGACACTGGCTTATGTATTATTAATATTCGCCTAGAGTCGTCGCAAACATTGCTTACTCGCCACTGGATCGATCTGATAGTCGTTCGATCTATAGTTGTTCGAAACGTTGCAAAACAATCTAACAAAATATAATTTTAGTAACTCATCCTGGTTCGACTAAGATTAGTTTAACGTTTAACAGTTTCAATTAATAGGGCAGCTGTAACGCCAAAAAGAATTCAATTTTTTAATCGAACGAAGCTTTTGTTAACGTTGAGTGTCGTGACAAATTCTTCAGGACAGAGAAGAGTATAATTAATGTCCAACATATGTATAGGCATATTACGAGTCAACATTTAGTTGCTTCGGGCACGTGCCATCGACATATTGTCCGTGTCTCCCAGCTCCGAATGCTCTCTGTAACACGACACGTGCCGCACGAATGCCCTGCAACGCGATCAGGGAACATCGAAGTCCCCATTCTCGGGTAGTATTTAACCATTAGGTACTGTTTACTTGATTTTAAGAGTCAATCCAAACCTACGAGCTACCGCAGACAAACACGCGGAGTGCAAAGTCCATCGTTTATCGTCAGACTCGTTGAGATTTGTATTCGATCGACGCGTCCCGATTTTATGAAAATATCAATTTTTCAAACACACGCCGATCGAATGCCTCGTTAATTAATTCGACGACTCGGATTCTGGTACGATTATGTTCTTCTTCTTTTCTGGGCGTTACCTGCGCTTCTGGATCCTAAATTCTGGATCCTTGCGCATTGCTGTATATCAGGGATGGCGAACTCGTAATCCGTGGACCACACGCTGTTCCTTCCCTTACCATCAAACTACTCCCACCATGTCCACTTGATTCTCTCCTGCGTCTGCGTAATAACGTGACACCTGTATCTATATACAGGCTGTCCCACGCACCTCCGATCTCCAGGTTTCGATCGACCGTCTTTACCGATTTTCCGTTTAAAAATAAAACAGGAAACATTTGTTATAACTTTAAGCTTCAACGAGAGTTTTGATGGAAATCGTACTAACTTAACTTTAGTAAAAGAAATAATAACTAATTTATGTTAACAGAAACGTTTCTCGTAGCCGATGAACGTGTCCCCGATGATCGTCGGAGAAATAGAATCACGCGAGGATGCAGGTGACACGGGTCACATGATGAAATAACGCGGAACAACCCCCTACTAGCGATCAGTGGCGGGGTTACTTGGACCCCCTTCTTGAGTCTCCCTAAAACACGACTCACTTGGCACACAAGTTTTGTGCATATAATGCGCGGTATCGGGACCCAGGCCCCAGCTTAATTTAATCCAATACAATATGTCTCCCCTCACCTTGTCCACCGTCGGAAAGGGTGCGTTAAAGAGGGTGGGTGGCTTTTTAAAACTGTGCCGATCTCAATTCACCGTGAAACCTCATCCTATTATGATCGATCTAATCCTGATTGGGCCGGACAGGTTTTTTACTTTCGCGGTGTACCGACGAGTCTTATCTAATTTCGAGGGTGGACAGATTCAAATGTTTTTTTTCCCCCGCGTCTTCTCGTTCTCTTTACTTACCATCGATCTTCCCCTCATTTTTGGCTCGTTCCGTCGAACGAAACGCGATTCTCGTCTCGCTATCGTTCATTCTGGAAATTCTATTTTCGTTTCTCAAGCACTCGTCTTAAATAGAATCGTGTAAAACATTGGAAAGCGTTTTGATATAAAGCGTTTTCCTCTCCGTTGATTTTCAATTGCAACCCCCCAGTTAAATTTATGGACGTGCTATTTATGTTAGGAAAACGAAACTTAACGGTATTAATGTTGCTGGCGCAAGAAGGTTCTCGACAATTTTATGCCAAACGAATAAACTATTCAGTTTCGTCGCCCGTCCGTGAAATCCTTTGTCCTAGAAAGAAATTTAGCCTGTTGCATTCCCGCTTCCTACTTTCCACTTAACGCGAAACCGTACTTGCGGCATTATCCTTGTGCAGTAGACTGTGACGCTGATTTTCGATAATAACAGGTATCCTCGTACCCTTTTATAGCTCAGTTATATACAAGTTACGGTAATTTCATAAAACGAAACCTAGTCTTAGGAACTGAGATTGTTTTAAATATTAATTAAACTGTGCAGAAGATTATTTTGAATTCATAGATATATTGGAACTTAAAAATGTTCATTTATTCATTTTCTGGTTTTCTCTCCACCCTTATTACTGAAATCAACAAATTTATTTAATTCGCTATATTAAAAGAAAATTATTTATTGTTATCAGGTTAAAATAAATTCTATATTTGAAGATTAAAGTTACGAAACTTAAAAATATAATATTTTATCTGGGAGATTCGAAGTTCAAAATTAAAGGAAGGGTTCAAGAGACAAGGTTTCTATATGAATATTAAATATTTAATTTATTTAGATTGCTTCCAATGTTTCTCATGAAACTATTATTGCTGCGAATCGTTCGCGAGTCACTTTTGCCGTTGAAAAAACTTCTTCCTCCGGTGTCCATTGCCGGTGTTCGACTTACGCTGTAACTGCAAAAGAAAATTAACGAATTGTATTTCGAGCAATTTTAATAAATAACTATCAATTTGCATACGTAGAAGGATTGATTTAAATTTAAGAAGCATTTATACGATTATGTGTTCGAATGTGTGTAATTAACGCGCGAAAGTTCGCCTCGTCATCGAGATTAGGGTCAATAATTAATTTCTGATGGATTTCTCGGAACGTGTGGCTGTGGTGGGTTGTGTTTGCCATTGGGAATGACACGCGAACGTGGTGGTGACCTGTCACGGGTCGCAACCCTGTGGAGATGGATTTGTTTCGCAGCTGTGTACACTGCTTAATGTAGGAGCCATCGGGGACGGGGATTGCTCCAGTGATGGCGAGGTGTCCCTAAATCCGTAAGCTAACTATATTACGCTTGTTTCTTCGTCGAAGATCAACGAGCGTTAAATTCTCGGCAAACGAGCCCTCGAACCGGAAAAAGAAATCACGATCGACGACGAGACGCAACAAATCAACACAAATCAACAAAATTTTAAAATTGTTTGAAATTTTTAAAGTCGCTCGAGACGTTGATAGAAGGCTGATTAATCGTCTTTGTTGAATAAAGAATTGCTCGGGATGGCTACCAATAGCGAACAAACGTTTCTAATTGTACGCACAAGGGCTGGTCAACGAATCGTCTCGTTAAACAATGTCCATGTTCTCGATAACGGGTGGTTGGTAGTTCACGAAATTCGGATCGTGGCCGCCATTTTCCAGATTCTCCATCGACGGTTTCCGTCTTCTCGAGGCGTCGTACTCTTCGCCGAGTTTCCTATACGTCTCTGCTCGATTCTCCAAAATCTCTCTGATGATCTCTGAAACGTTGAACAAATTGATAAGTAAGACATCTACAATATTTGAATAGTTTCGATCAAGAGTCGATAATTAACGACAGGTCGAAATCTATGGCATAAACGACATTTACCCATGAGAAGTTCTCGGCTTTCGATCATGTTGCCCATTTCCTTCTTCACCTCCTTCATCAGCCACGGCACGAAGCCCTCCTCGACGTCTGTGCAAACAAATATTATTGGTCTCCACGCGTCGTGTTCGAAATCGAATCGCACGGAAAAACTAATCGAAACGAAATAGCCAAGCGTGCTTTGTTATTCGAACCGGATAGAGGACATAAATAAAGAGAAATTAATAAACCTTTCTGATTAACTAATTCACAAAAAGTAGCAGTGTTCTTGCGAGTTCACGAACCAGCCTTGATCTCGTCCAGCAGGAATCCGGACATCTTCAGTCCTTCTAGTACCGCCGGAAGTAGTTCAGCGATATATCCGGTTAGGATGGTAGCCGCCGCGACTCGTTCCTCCGTTTCTTTCTCAGCTTTCATTGCCCTCTCGTGTTGCTTCAACCGTTGATCCTATCGAACATTTCATAAATTATATACTTTAACCAAATAATTAAATTAAAAACGAATTCATTCGTTATTTAAAACGTTGATGTGCTCAAAGTAAATATATTAAAAGGGTTAAATAACTATTCAATTAAACGTGTAATACCTTTTCTTCTCTTAGTCTCCTTTCCTGTTCCGCCAGCCTTTGAGCCTCAGCCTTTTCCGCGGCTCGTAGCTCCAGGAACTTCCTCTGCTGCTCCTTCAGGGCTGCGATTTCCTCTTCCTCGAGGACCTCTATCAACGCCTGCTCCATCGTCTTTCCCACGAGCTGCTCCAGTATCGGTTGCACTTCGAAATCGAAGTCGAACAGCTGGGTGAGTAACAATTTTCTTTAAACAAGTTCGTTTTACGAAAATGCTGAAACCAAACGAAGTACTTACGTCACCGGGTTCGATCTGCGTGCTGGCATCTTCGCCAACCTTGCTCGGACAGTATTGCGGGGTTGGCGGCCTGTCCAAGAAGTAGTCGGTTTGCGTCGCGACGTTAAACTCGTCCGGTTTCTCGAACAGCTGTCGAATTCAGTTTACGCGGCGAAATTAATTGCATGGTATCAAAAATAAAATTGTTTAAAAAGTTATTCGAATCTCAACTACGTGCAAAATTGATACCATTAAAAGGTACACCCAAAGTTCTCGAGATGAAAATAATTTTTGGATCGACTTGGAGAGATTTGTCGCTTAATTTGAACGAGTTTAGAGTAATCTCCCGGCACGAGCACGTCACTTGTAAGTAAACGACAAGCCACCTTTTCCCGGCTTTTCAGAAACTTATATCTCCATTACATTTTTTGTATTGTCGGTGAACCGACAATAAAGCAATTGTCCCTTATTATAAGGCGCCTTTATTTAAGGGGTATTGTATGGTACATGGAATATAGCAGGCCCGAAAGGCAGCAGACTTCGTGGCGCCGCTATTGTTGACTTCTACCTGCGCCCGAAACTTAGGCGCCTTTCGTGTCTGCGAAGTCCGTATTGTTAGGAATGTTTTCCTTAAACTGTTAACCGACGATCTCGAGATACATCACAGTTATACGATAAAAAAAAAACGTATCGATTCTCTGAAAAATTTTGTTGGCGGGATTCCTTTGATGGAAAACGTTCGATCGCAGGGCATAAGGATCCTACCTCCTCGAGATAGACTTCCGTTTGCACTGGTTCGTGTTTGCGGCCAGGAACAGGCGGCGGTGATCCTAATCTTGCGACTAGAGACTTGGTGGCCTGAGCTTGAGCCCGTTTCCTAGCCAAATGTCTTCTTCTGGCTTCCGCCTGTCTCGCCGCTATCGATTGTTCGCCATCGATCTGCAACAAACAACCAAATATTTATCCGATTACGCGTTGCTCGTAAGTTCGTTCAAATATTTCCCCGACAGAATAGTAGAAATGTAACTTTGGTAAACAAAAAAAACATGGTTAAATGGTAAAGAATTTTTATTTATTTACTTACGAGGATAGGAGGGGCAGCAAACGTGCTTCCACGTACAACGCGTCGGTCAAACATAATATTCCCGAAAGGAACCGGTTGATCGCTGTAAGAAAAAAAATAGAAGAACGACTGCAATTAGCGCGTTTCGAGCAAAGATATCTATGAAAAAAGAATTTTAATAAATTATACAGGACGAATCAGCTTAAAGTAGGTATAATTATTGGATTTTCGAGATCACCATCAATTATACTTCATTCGATACCTTCATAATTTGTGAGCTATTTATCAAATTTGAAAATGTTTCCATCAAACGTATTATCAAGAGTGAAGGAACGATACAAAATTATAAAACAATTATAAAATTAACATTACAATAAACGAATAGGCGGAGAAAAATGTTATCTCATCCAGAGAAGGTCGCAAATGATTATTTTTTCTGATTCTCTGCGAAGGGACGTCGGGTCAGAAAGGTTCAAAGACTATTCGGTAAGCTGTTCAAATAGATTTTATTGCATCCAAGGAACGACGTAACAAAAATATTCTCGAATCTTACAGAATTTATAATAAAATATCGTCTACGAAACGGTCAGTTGAAAATAATTTCAACAACGTGTATAAAGTTTTCAAATTTATAATTAAATTTAAACTAGGACTCGAGTATTAGCGAATGGTAAAGCGTGGTTCGGTAATGCTTAATCTGGAACCAAATATCGGTTATCCGCGCGTCCATCAAACTTACGTCGCGTCGTTCTTCTTGGCGATCTTCGCTCGTTCGTCCAAGGTCGTGGCAGCCATGGTCGTCGCGTTCATCATTCCGAGGGTGAAGTCGACGGTGGCCTTGAGGGCAGCCGGACACCTGGCATTGTGGCTGCTGTGACGTACTTCCGGCTTCTTGGCCAGCGACACGAGGGACTTGAATCTCGACCTCAGAGGGCAAGTGAAACTGTCCGTGTCGTCCGCGTCGTTGGGATTCGGACCGATCCCGAGTAGGGCAGCCACTTCCGGCGGCGGCATCAGAAACTCCCCGGTCTTCACCGTGGTTATAAACGGTTTCTTCCTGAATATTTGGTTCCTCTTGGCGCTCTTGCGTTGCTCCTCCTTCTCCAAATCCTGAATCCTCTTCAGTTTCGCGTTCAGGACCTCGTTGAAATCCTCCGTGGACAGAGTGATCGCCGGCTTGATCGCCGGAACCTTCTCCAACGATCTCGAGCTCTCCTGGCTCTTGCTCCTCGGTTTCTTCCTCAAAGGGTTCACCTGATTCGACTGCAGACTCGCCTGGATCAGGTGATCGTTCGATCTGCTGATGCGTTTCCGATCGTACAAATTGTTGTTCCCGTTCTCCAGCCGGCCTCTGTCCGGCTCGATGTTTTCGTTGTCGCCGTTCACGTGCAGCAACGGAAGATTGGTGTCCAGGCCATCCTTCTGAAGGATCGTGAACGCCGGAGGATCCTTTCTCTCGCGCTCGAAGGGATCCCCGTTGGCTGTAGGCGCCAACGCGGAAATCCCGTGCGGCATACTGATTCCTCAGAAACGTCCACTGAGAACGTGCATCTTCGAAACGTTCTCCGCCTCGTCGTGGACGCGAACGAAACTTTTAAGTAGAGACGGTCGGTCTGCGATCGGATGGCCGAGCAGCGTAGATCGTACGGAGACCTATTCACCGATTAACGTCTCTATTATTCAGAGATAAAGTCACGGGCGATTAATAATTCTCGGTTTACTTCGCGGTCTCGGCGGATTACGATATCGACGCGCCATCGATCGCCAGAGAATTCTAACGAAGAACACGTCGTGTCTCGAAGCGATCGACGTAATGAAATATACTCGAAACGTTCGTTTCTCGGTGGTCGTTTGCTCGTTGTATCGTTTCGAGGTTCTGAGACGAAAAGATAGACGGATTCGGAGGAAGGGGCCGGCCAAGGTGGTCGCGCCGACGTTCACGGCATTACTAACCGGCTAGCCACGGGCTCGAACGAGTTCAGAGACTGGACAATGTCCTTAGGAATCGACCGACATAGACCGCAGACAGGGTGCGCGTATATTTTTACCGCGCGAGCGGCCACTCAATAACGCTGACCACCGTCAACTTTGCGCATGCCTAAATGATGCCGAAGGGGCTCGAAATCGGTGGTAACTATGACCACGTATGCCCGTCCACCAGCGCCAGGAACTTGTCCCGAACCACGCGATACACCCCTCCGTGGAACCTCTTCAAGGTGAAACACGTTACACGTTTGACCGATCGTTTCTCTTGTCGCCCTCGGCTTGCTCCGCCGCGACAACCGCCTTTGAACGTTCGCGAGCACCGAGGTTTCAGAAAATTTCCTAACGTTGTGCAACCAAGGTAAACGAGACTAAAAGGGAGCTATTTTTTTTCAACCCCTTGCGTCTGACTCGTCGCGAGTTCTCGATGTCAAGTTTCGCGATTACGAGGCCACGTCGTCGGGTCTCATAAATTAAAAATCAACGCATTTTTACGTTCACGAGGTATTCGTAAAACAAATCTATTCTTTTTCGTGATCAGTCCTTGTACGAACTTTAAACAAAATTAAATATGTTTGGAAAATTATTTGGAATTGAATCGTAAGTCGAGGGGTTAAAAGAGATCGAATGTAATTTACGCAATTCATACACTTTAATTAATTGGCCTCGAAAGTATGGGTTTTTCAAATTTTGGAAAATAGTTAAAGTCATAAGTACCACGAAGTTTTAGTAAAGTTTGGTAGACATTGTATTTGTATCTTTTATTCGAAATTAGCATAACATGTTGGTGAATTTTGTATTATACGATTTACTATGAATACGAAGTTTTATTTAATAAATAAGGGAGTAAATCTGTAATGACAGAGCTCGGGGATTCTGCGTGTTTGCATTATGTATTTCTGAGAGTTCGATAAGGTTATTGGCCTCGATGTGATTCTACGTCGTTTAATATTAAAATAGAGCTTTATACGATATTTTATTTATCGTTTCAGAAATAATCTAATAAGATAACTGTTATTGTGATTCGCGTCAGAAGTCGAGGGCAGAGATTTTTTTAATTAAACAAAATTTCGATCTACTGTAACTCTAAATTAAGTTTTTAAAGAATGTAAAAGGAAAGGATGATGCATCGTTGTCCTTTAATTGCTTTTTTCTACAAATTCCTTTTAAAAGCACGAACGTAAATATTTATATACATTTTATAATAAACTAGCGCAACATTCGTGATCTAATTACATATTTAAGAAAATAGGAATTATTTTATGACAGATATCATCCTGAGCGCGTGCCTCAGGCAATTTAGATATCGTTCGAAAGGTCTTGGCTCGAAGTTGTGCCTTTTCGTGGTTCCACATCCTCCCATTTCCGGTTTGGAAGTTACAAATGACTTCTGCTAGAACTATGCTGACGCGAATACAGGTACGAATACGAAATTATATCGTTTTCAAAGAAGTTTATGACATAGTTCTATAATTCTGGTAAGTTCAAAATTAATAGTGTAATCGTTGGTTTAATTATAGAATTCAAATCAGACGATACTATGACGCTTTACAAAACTCGATTTCGTTCGACCACCGATTTTGTCGCAGATCTTTCTTTTTCGTTAGCACCTTGGGAACGTTTCGACACATGTTCGCGCTCGAAAGTTCTTTTTCGTGTTAGCATAATGCGGCTGTCCTTGAGGGAGAATTATGGCAGGCGTGCGTTTCGCGCGAAACGCGCCGCATGATTCAAAATCGTGAGACTCCTTGGCTCAATCGCGATAAGATAAACGAACCGAATCCACCCATTTTGTTTCTCGTTTCGTGGTGGAAATCGTACGGCGGTTCGTTATTTTTTTTCTAATAAAAAATCATATTACCTCTCGACTATGTTCTTTGGTTAATTCGTGAGGGTAGACGATACTTTTTGTATCGATAATTCGAGGAGTAAAATATAATATTGTAAATGTATCACGTTCGTTCGTAGATGGTACTCTATTAATAGTTTTGTTAAGTCGACTAGAGAAGTAGTAAAGGCTAGTTTACGATAGAATCGAAAATTTTTATTCATTATTCGTAAATAAAATTTGCCTAGGTTGCATGGTTTAGCAACGGTTTATCTTTCTAGCGAGCAGGTTCGCGAACGCGACGAGCTCGTGATAAAATCAACGGGCGGTCATTCCCTTCTGGCGGCCATTAACCGAATAATTTACACGTGTCCAGCGTTTATTCCATTATCGCGCCTTTACGGTTGTCCATACTTTCGAATACAGCGCGATATCTGCTCGAGAATTGATTAGCTGAGCGTAATAATAGATGACTGTAAGTACATATGCACAGTCGCCTGCAATGTCAACCATTTACGTCCGCGTCGCCGTCTAAAGAATTCTAGCAACGGTTCGCCGAAGAAGCGTGATTTTTCACGAAAGCTGAATTCCACATTTGCAAAAAGGTCTCGCTAACGAACGGAAGCGAAAAATTTATCAAGAATTAGAAAAAAGTTGACTGACGCGAGCTGCGAGCTCAAATCGTGCTTTTACTTCTTTCCGATTGGCTTCGCCATTTTTTACTAAACTCTACAACTGTTGTTTTCCACGATATGTAGTATCGTACGTGGAATGAATGGACAAATCGTGTGTATGTCTGTGACTTCCTAATAAATCACGATCAAAGGTCGAAGCACATATCGCAATGGCGGGCTTAGTGAAGCTCTTGGGAGAAAAGAGAGGCTGTCGAGTTCAAAATTATTTGGAATTCAGTCGTTTTACAATAGAAATTGTGTACCACGGGAGAATCGATAATAAAAATGACCAGTGGGATTGATCTTTACGGTGTTGTAAATCGTGGGCAGGGGTCGAAGAATATAACGGTAATCTCGGGAAAGTATTAGAGGTACGTGTCGCAAGCTTTTCGAAACTTTTTGTTATCGCGTTTCTAAATCATTTTCCGCCTACAGGAGGGATATCGTGACACGAAAACTATAATAACTTTGCAAACAACGATGTAACTTCGGTAAAATGACACCCGTTGTTATCGAGAGTCATCGCCGTCGACTCTCGTCCACAATTACGCGAGAAAATCAATTCTCGCGAAGACTTCGCGCCCTTTCGCCTGTAACAGTACACGGAATCTCAAAAGAACGTCCACTACTTTTCTTTTTTCGTTTTTTGATAATTATTTAGAGGATATAAAGTGCATAAGTACCGTTTTATTTTTATTCTGAAAGTAAAGTTATTAGGCGACTAAAACTATACAAAATGTCCAACGATACTTACGCGGGTGGAGTCCTGTATTTTTTCTGTATGTGTAGAATGGCCCTCGGACTCTTCACGAAGGTGTACGTTTCCCTTTTATCGGCTGCAACGGGCGGTATGTTGTAAGGTTGCAGTCCACGGTTGCACATTCGGCATATTTCCGCGGTTCTCGTGTCCATGTCTCTTCCTCTATAGTTTCAATTCGACGAAATATTTTCCCCGTAAGGATTACCGATTTGTTTTAGACAGATATATTCGTTCGATCCCGGTGCAGTTACACTCGTATCGCGGACTTATCTTTCTCGAGAGATTTCTCTTCGCGGTCGTCAATGTCGAACGAAGATATAACCAAAAAAATTGCAGCCGTTTCGTGTAACTGTCTTTCACTAGCGTCGTCTGGGAGACGCAAACAAGAAGGGAGCTTATAACGGAGAAGTATCGATGTAACTTTCGCAAACGATAATTTCTTTATTGATCCATTGAATACAAAATTTAATATATAATTTCGTGCGAATAATCCTCTGGCACGCTTGTTACGTTTAAATGAGATCGTAACATCAAGTTGCTTACGTTTACATAATAATTTAATGTTAAATAATATATCGCAGGTTTGAAATAAACTTTTTATCGCCGGAGGAATGATTTATTCGCTGCTGATTTCGTTGGAAACTTCTTTGCCGACGTATAATTCGGTGAATAGTTTCTCAACTGACCGCCATCCATGTGAAGAGGGCGCTAAAATCACCTCCGAATTTTCAGGTCGGTATGGCAGTCAGATTGGGCTACGAAAGTTCATAAGGTCTACTTGTGTACCTCGTCTGTGGAGGTATACGAGTAGACCTTACCACACCACTCGTCGCTCACAGGGGTAATGCCGTTGTCTGTTTTACCAACAGTAGCAATATTCGGTGTTCTACCTTGTTGACCTCGACTGTAGTTTCCATAAATCGCCATGGGCACTACGGTTTTATACGTATCAATTCACTTTCCGAGGTTTCCAGAGACTAAAATACAGCGTAGACGGTAAAATGATTTACAGATCTGCTCGTAAATTATTTGTTATCGAGCGTGACGCATAATGTAACAATCAGTTTCTTACCAGATTGCATTATAATGTGTATACCAATAGCTCGATCCTCATTCGTAATTTGAGGTCATTTGCGATACCAATATTCCCGCTTCTACTGCGTCAGGTCCCCGTCTATCCAGAATTATAGATTTTCGTACCGATTAGAGGATTATTTTAGGTTGAAACAGACCAACGTATTAAGTAATTTCTGCACCGGTGCCAGTTCTG